GTCGAATTGAATACCTCCTTCTTTTGGGAAGTCGGTCAAAAAGTGTAGACCCCAGCACAACATATATTGCACGAATTAGCCGGATTGCCAGATGCAATATCAGGGTCAAACAGAAGACGGGCGAAATAAAATTAATAGCGTGTTCCGTCTGATGATTGTCCGTGCCCGATACATAACATCAGTCCCACTTCTCTTCCCGGTCTTTTAACAAGGAAAAGTTGGGGGAAGGAGGATTTGACAGACGTGACGAAAAAGAGAAACGTCCTCTTTGCGCTACCCGTCTAACAAAGATAGACAACAATATACTTTTAAGGATGTGTATGGGCGATCGCTTTAATATTTCGACGAATTACTGATAATAGTAATCTTTGTGTTAATGTTTCACGAAATTGCTTTTTATCGTATTTTCATCACATTAATCGGAACATTATTATGCCGGATCTAAATCGGAGTTTCCTGATTAAAATGCTAACTAATCAACTGTACAGTAAACCTAGCTATCATTCAGTTATCCAGTCAGACAAGCTATCAAGGATCTAATTAGTATGTATGCCTTGTACATAACTTCAATGAACCAAATCCGTTTAGGTTATCTAAGGACAAACAAAGTCATTTACCTTATACATAGTAAAATCTTTTGAGTCATTAAACAATCCGGATACAACTTGTTAAAGAATTTTCACATTAATATCATATCCGTTTCTCATTTCTATGAATTTTTTAATTCAAGTTTATAGCCGTTTATAATAATACATTGGAATTTAATGAAAGTAACGATGCGTGCAATCTGTACTCTATACTATATCTATACTTGTTATAATAAAGCGTAAACACACACTTCTTTGTTGCCTAAGATGTCAGCAATTACAGCACATTTTCGAATAACTCTTTTTTTAATAAAAAAGCCCTACAGTCACGTCACGCCCTATGCTATATATTTTCACGCCGTTAAACTTAGGGGTAAATATTTTGGATAAAAACCCTAGTGTGGGAAAGAGACCAAAAGTTGCAGCCAACATTTGACATCATGTCATGTATTTTGACATTTGGTATTGATAATTTGTCACATGTAAACAATAAAACATGTTTTTATATAATTTCCAACGAATGAGGTTGCATGAAAACAGCTAGTAATAAATTAAATAAAAAGTATTATTTGAATTACATTAATTACAGTTGATAACTATGCGATAACTAACGTATCACCTACATTTAATTTTGTGTAGCGTTTACAAAATGAAAATTGCCTCCTGTGAGGTTTGAACTCACGACCCCTGGTTTACGAGACCAGTGCTCTACCACTGAGCTAAAGAGGCGCGTGACATGACACTCAAATTTAAGTTAACACTTTGTTACAGATTAGACATTGCGTAATTAATAAAAAAATATTAAATAATGTTTCGTTTACAATAAGCATAAATAAAAAATCGAGTTCATTTATTTAATTCTTTACAATTAGGCAGAAAAAGTTAAAACTATGTCTCACAAAAGTATGTGTCGTTTGTAAGATTGATTACATTTTTTATTTATCTAAAAATGGTTCTTAAGTCATGGTTATTTATTTCAATCAATTATCAAATAGTCTCAGAAAAGTGTTTTGTTAATTAATTGTTCTAATTACGATGACCTTGATGATATTAATTAACGATTATTTTGATACTTCGAATTAATTTACTTAATGTGCCGAAGATGTCTTGTTGTGATGTTTCTCCAGATCTACATTACTAACGGATTTTCCGTCTTATATTATTATTCAATTATCTTGACTTACTATTCCCTATACACGTGCTCGGATAAAAGATACATAATAACACATGTAACAGTGGTAGTGCCCGCTTTAACATCTTAGGACGAATGGGCCGGCACGCCCGGTGTAATACCACGACCACACAGAAGACAGGCGTGAAATGGAAACAATTCCGTGTTTCGTCTGATGAGTGTGGTGCCGGAGGCCTAATTTAAGTTCCTTTCTCTTTACCACCCGTTTCTTGTAAAGAGAGGTTGGGAAGAGGAAGTGGATTTGACAGTGGAGGAGATGCATAGGAAGGGGAAATACCCTCTTTATGTGCGTCTCCTCCTCCGTCGGATAAGGGTAGGCAACGCATCCGCAATTGCGGATGTCTATGGGCAGCGGTCGCTTTGCCACTTTGGCGATTTCAGGTGGCCGCTTGCTCGTTTGCCACCTTATGTTATAAAAAAAAAACACATATAGCTTACATAAAGATACATTAGTTACTTCCTTTATATATCTCATATTAGTAAAAAAAGTCATAAATGTGAAGTCATTCAATCCGCACAGAACTAATTTGATTGACTAAGGCCTAGTCACCTAGTCACTATTAATTTAGGCTAGATACCAGCAGTTTAGGTATGAGGGCTTATGACAGAAATAGGTTTAAAAATATAAAAAAAAGTATTAAGAAACATTTTAATTTACTAATTTCATTTTAAAGGGAAGATGCCCTTTAAAACCGAGGTTCGTGACCTCGTACAAGGCAGCTCGTGCTTACAGCTGCAGCCATACAGCTTCGTGCTTCTTACAGCGCGGGTTGGATGTAGTGACGTAGAGGATCTCCAGATTCGGGCCACCGAAAGTCAATGACGTCACTCCGTTGGTAAGATCGTCACTTTCTGTAGGATTTCCCCAGTTTTACCATCTATTTTTAATACTGAAGGTATTTACGAAAAAAACTATTATCCAAAAAAGACTTAAAACATTTAAAAAACGACATGAAAGATTTTTAAAAGTACAGATTATAAATATGCACAAATGTATGATAGTTATGAAATAATTAAAAAAACTCACCCGACTGGCTTCATATACAGCAGAGGTTTCCGTCCGTGTGGTCAGGCCATCACATACTTCTTTAATTCTATGATCAAAAGCATTGAATAGTTTTTGGCAGTTCGCTGTCAATGAAATCTAATGTTTCGTGATTTTTATTTCATTATCTCCGATATACGCACGCCCTCAATGGAGGATCGTTACCGTGTACATAATCTACATTCGGAGTTGAAATATACAAACAGCTCGTTTCACTCCGACAAATACATTATTGTAACATTAAACCGTGTAATTTGTCCCAGCATTGTCCTGGGGATATAACTAACATGTGGAAATCCAAGTTCCTTGCGTTCGTTAAAGGCGTTACAAACTACGTTTATTGGTTCTACGCGTAGGAGATAGGCGGAGATAGGATAGGAGATAGGAGATAGGAGATAGGAGTTAGGAGACAGGAGACAGGAGACAGGAGACAGGAGACAGGAGACAGGAGACAGGAGACAGGAGACAGGAGACAGGAGACAGGAGACATGAGACAGGAGACAGGAGACGGGAGACGGGAGACGGGAGACGGGAGACGGGAGACGGGAGACGGGAGACGGGAGACGGGAGACGGGAGATGGGAGATGGGAGATGGGAGATGGGAGATAGGAGATAGGAGATAAGAGATAGGATAGGATTTAGTAACAGATAATTTTAATTTTTTTGTGTTATGGTGATTTGAGTTTCATATTAATATATCCTCTTTTTGTTCAATGAAACTACTTTAGTAACATTTTGAAGACTTAGAAACTCAAACTTACAAACAAGTGATATTAATTAGAATACGCAAGTGAAGGAAGTAACGACATTACACACGGCGACGTTAATGATTCACATGAAATTAAAATTTATTTTTTCTTGTTTCAAACATGCATGTGGGAACGGTTCCACAAGTTCCTAATATGATTAATCACCGACTTTATAATTTAGGTAATTTTTGCTAGATGAAAATATAACAATTACTGTAGTAAACACGACTAAAATAATATAGCTGCCTCTCCTGCTCCGTCAATTAAGGGTAGACAACGCATCTGCACTTGCGGATGTTTATGGGCAGCGGTCGCTTTCCATTTCGGTGGATTCAGGTGGCCGGTTACTCGTTTGCCACCATATATTATAAAAAAAAACAATTTCTTTCTATACAAGCTTTAACCCCAATTTCCCTAAAATTCTTTCTTTGTGTAAGCCCAATGAAGTAATAGAAATATTTATGCAAATTTTGAAGCCTCTAGGACCAGTGGTATGCGGTGTATTAATAATATGTTGAATATATTAAACCGCGAAAGACACAACAGGCGTGTCGATTTCGGTTAGCGAACGAGGTTGCTAAATTCGGTTTCGCGTTTTTAATCATTACGGTGCATACGGGTGCATCTTCAGGCAGCATCGTTGGCGCCTACAGACTTTACAGAACCAGACTTTGACTCGATTGGAACTGACAGAGACCAGGCACCTACAGGAGGTAAGGCGATCATCGAGCTGGTAAGTACCCATTCCCTTAGTTTACAATATTATGCCCTCCGGTGCATTCGTAGTTCAAGGGTAGGTCGTGCTGCGAGACCCGACCCAGAGGAAATAAGGTGCAGTCGTGTGATACCTGAGATATCATCAACTTTAATGCAGACTCCATACAATTTTTCTAAGAAAACATTCTGATAGCGCCATAAATTTCGACATATGATGAATTTAGCACTATGTTATGTATTAAGTCATAAAAAGCACATTTAATCTAAAAAAGAGACATACAAAAATTCCGATGAATTTGTCTATGGAGGCCAAATTATTGTCCACTGTGTGACTAGATTCGAATCAAGGACTGCAGGATTACAAGTCAAGTCTTGAGTGTTCTCAATTTATAATTTATATAAAATTATATATATTTATTATGTCTAATATAAAATATTTTATTACAAATTCAATAATGAAAAAACGAGATTGAGATATAACAATCGAGAAACATGTATCGATTACTGGGTATTTTGCTTATGATTTAATTACATGCTAGATTGCACTTTTCTTTGTTTATAATATTAAAACAAGGAAAACGTCTCGCCGAGGCTTTATGAGTTCAAAGAGTAATCGACGCTTAAACAACAATCCGATCGGTGAAGACCCGCGTAATTACTATGAATAATCTGTTTCTGATTTGCCGTTCGACTAGTACAAAACCTATTTAGTGTAGCCGGAATGCAATGAATACAAAAACTCGCTAAAGAAAAAATGACTTTGAATTATAGTAGATCAAAATTACATGTTCTTTTATTATTTACTACTTTTTGCCCGCGACTCCGTCTGCGTGGAATTAAAAGAAATCAAAAGTAAGTAGCCTACGTGTTCTTCCAGACTATGTTCTACATCTGTGCCAAATTTCATCGAGATCTGTCCAGCAGTTTAGACTACAAACTCTAACAAACATCCATCCATGTAAACATTCGCATCAATAATATTAGTAAGATGTGTACAATGCAATTAGTTGTAGCTATGGATTTTTTAAAAGGTCTTGTAATCCATCAAGGAAAACATATTCGAGAACTAGCTATTTCGGTACATGTCATCTGATACTCAATGCAATTAGGTCGGTAACTTATTATGGCAACCTACGTATGTACTTAGTTATGTCACTTATGGAGACTGAGATACAATATTAGATTCTACGGGGGAATGGAATTAAATTCTTTACACAGATAATGTCATCCATGTATTTTTGACCATCAAAACTTGAATAAGACTTAGTGGTTTTAGTCGAGTTTTATTTATTGCTTTCTTAATAAAACTTTTTTAATAGAGAAATTTTTACAAAGTAACATTAAGGACTAGATCACGATGGAGGCGGGGCGACTGTCGTGGCTGGACACGGTGATGACCGCAATAGGTTCACATCTGTAAAGGGAAAATTAAAAATGTTAATATTATTTTTCATCAACACACCTAAGGATAGTAACTTAATCGAAACAATGTATTGTATTTTGGTTCTCGCATTAAGTTTTATGGTTAATTTTCAATTATAATTTACTACAATTTTACTCAAATACATACTAAACGAGTTTTTAATCGTTCTGGACTTGTTTTTGTGTCATTGGTGTTTGCTTATAAAACAGCAATTGGCTCAGAGATGTCATCACAACGCCGCTCTTTGACCTTGGTAACGCATCGTGACATATGAATTAAACCAACGGGTCTATTACGAATATTTGTGATACACGTGCGAGAACGTATATGTAACGTAAGGTTTTATCGGATTTTTCGGTGTACTTTAAGCCTCGTAACATATAAAACTTTTTTCGTTGACTGTTGACGTTACGAAAGTGTTCTCACGATTATTAGTGTTAAGCCCTCTTTGTAGTCTGACGTGAGATATTTTTGCGATCTGTACTTACTTGTTCCACAAGCCTGAGCACAGTACAAGCGCCCTGGGTTTGGATAGGTGACATTGTTTGTGCCGCACACAGGGTTGTATTCCGCGGTCACGGGGCAGTTGGCAATGCAGTCGTCGATAGTGGGGTCGCTCGCCGCTGGTGTTGTGGTCCTGGAATATCATTCATCACTTAGTTTACTCATCTTATAAAACAGTTGAAACGTTGTCATACGAGAAATGTTGTGTGGCACTGCACTGCACTCAAAAGGATTTTTTATAGGTACCCCAACTGGAAACGATATCTCTTCAATGGTTTAACAAACGCATGCTGCATGTTAGTACTAAAGCGCCCTGTAAATGGTTAAATCTGTGTTCGTCATATTATTAGTATCCATGATAAAGGTGATTGATAAATAGTTTCATCAAACAATTTATGGAACATGTTATATATTATTAGATCGTTTAGTGTTAATGTATTTTACAATAGAAACTGTATTATGGATATTTTTAAGGATGTTAATATATGTAGCTATAGAAGCTATTGTATGGTATGTGGCCAAATTTAACTACTAACATGCAAAGCTAAGACGTACAAATGTACCAATATTATCAGCAGTGAAAAATGTTATTTGACTTAAATTAAAATGAACAGCAAATAATAATAAACAATGAAAGTAACAGTTTCAACTTGCCCATTTATTGGGTTTTGAGTTGTCTGTTGTGTCTGATCTGGTAGTATTCCTTGTCCAGGCGGAGACACTTCTCCAGGGAGAGGTACTTGTCCAGGGTTAGGTACTGCACCAGGGAGAGATCCGGGGAGTAGTCCTTGTCCAGGGTTAGGTACTTGTCCAGGGTTAGGTACCGCACCAGGGATAGATCCAGGGAAAACAAACTGTCCTTGATCGGGAAACTGTGGGTTAGGATACGGTGGTGGATTGGGAAACTGTGGGTTAGGAAAAGGTCGTGGATTGGGAAACATTGGGTTAGGGTACGGTCCTGGGTAAGGATACATTTCTAGACCAGGGTATAGACTTGGGTCAGGGTAAAATCTTGGGTAAGGGTTTTGTCCGAAATTAGACGTTTGGCCAGGAAACCTTCTGTCAGGCATCTGCGGCGTATTCCACTGGGGCGGCAATCGCGTTGGATACCACTGCGGTAACATAAATCCATATCTGTCTTCCAAATTGTTGTTATTGGTTTCTGCTTGTCTCTTATTTCTAAGATTTAATCCGAAGACATCGGTTGTAAGAAACGCTGGAAAAATTAAAAATCATAATCATGCTTCAAGCCATCCGCATTTTTGTTGAAAGGTAAAGTCGCATCGGGACTAATAAACATCGATTAAACGTTTTTTTTAAACTTATTTATCTGTAATATTATAAAGAGAAAAGAAAAAAAATGTCATACAAAACAATCAGCAGGAAGTTTTGCTATAAAAATTAAATAACTTCTTCCAAGAATGAAATTGAGATAACATACTTTATCATTGAATGTAAACATAATAATCTTTGAATATAAGGTAGAGGTCAATAACGCCAACGGAGAAGTCATTTTTGTATAAATACAACAATTACCGGACCGGTAACCGGTTGTCGCATGACTTTGGTAGCTGGTTTTAAGGAGGAAAATATAAAAGGTTTTTTATAAAATCAAGATACATAAATGTTCCATTTTACTTGCAAATATTAAAATATACGTATCCGCGTAATTAGCAAAATGTAGCAAGTACAAAAAAAGGGCAAAAAATCACAGTCTAAAATGTATCACCGATTAAAAACACCATCACATAGATGCGTCTTTTAGAAATATTTCATATGTGTTTCGCTGGATCGTAGAGGTAAATATGTTTTTGAATCATTAAAAAGAACTCAAATGGTCAAAATTAATTGTTAACTACGAAATTAACAAATAAGGTAGAAATTAATTTTTTTAATCAACCTATACTAGGTACTGGGATTTAAAGGAAGTTTAAAAGTGAATTTAATTTCAACACTTCATACAAAAAACGTTGTATAAATGATATATGATTACTTACCAGCTAATAAAAATACACACAATATCTTCATTTTTGATTTTTATATTCCTTAAGAAATAATACAACTGGTCCGTCTCGTATTATCTGTCAAGCGTCACTGGCCGATGTTGACCATCTTCGTTGCTTTTAAACTCGCGTTCAATAGCGACCACGTTCTGCTCATATCTTGCTCACTTACAATAATGATGTTTGCGATTTAGTGTCGGTATTTCCTATAAGTGTATTATTAATTGTTATCCGCACTCAACCCTTATTGTCTTTTAGTAACCCTTTGTAGATAAGTATGGAAAATAGAAGTAAGTAACATATACTTAGGAACTTGTTTAGTGTTGCTCTTCAGGATCTGGAGTCAGTTAAATGATCAATAATTTAATAGGAAAAATTCACATCGGGCCGATTGATCTGTATGCCGTTAAGTCCAACGGGAAACATATATCTAGAATCACGTGACAAGGAACAATAAAGCTATGAATGTGGCAGATTGGTTCACAAATTGACTGATTTCATTATGTTCTTGTCTGTGAAGTATCATGCAAATTTTATAAATGTAATCATACTAATATAAATGCGAATGTTTATATGGATCCTTTTTTTTATGTCACGGGACGGGGACGGAGTCGCGGGCGAAAGCTAGTTTAAAATAAACGAAACTCCATATGCCTCTAATTTCTCGTGTCAAAATTTTAATTTTCGATTTTTATTGCGTAAAATGTTTATAGGTATTCTTAACGTTGTAACGTTAAATGATTGTTTTAATTAACTGTATATTAAAAATGTATCGATAAACACGTAACATCACTAATTAACACAGTTGACGATGACCTGTAGATAATTTGCTCGCTGTGAATTCCCAACAACTTCCCAGCGGTTTTTTTTTATCAAGACAGGATTGTTATTTTGAAATAACTTGGAATGTACATTTTTTACAAATACGAGTAGATAAGCATTGTGATCTGGCTGTGCGTTGATTTCCTTAGACAACCAGTATATGCAGATCTTTCGTTTATTTATTTATCTTTTGAAATTACCAAACAATCATAAGGAAGATGGCGAACAGTGAAATGATAATTACTGATACGGTCTGGATTGCGTTTTAAAGAAAAATAATACAATTATAAACATAATTATTACTTTATTAAAATTTATTATCGATTTTTTTATGTAAAACAGTGTAACATCAACAATCTGTTGTATACAATCATTAAGATGACAACATAAAAACATTGAGCGGAATAAACGTTATTTTTTTTGTTATATACTCTTATCGTAAGTGTCAATGCAACATACAACGTCTGCAGATAAGAATAGGAAAACCCAACCGCTTTGTTTTTACAAAATGATACAGAGCTCTATTAAGAATTTTTTTGTGACAGTTGCGAGAACGTATTCGTAAGAAATCGACAAAGTATCATATTTTTCAGTGCAATTCTAATACAAATTACGTAGACGACGTTACGAAATCTTTCTCGCGAATATTCATGATAAGCCCTCTGGTATGACGAAAGAAGCGTTGTTTATAACATAGGTAGTTTTTTTTTCTAAAACCGTTAAAATTATGTTTACATTGCTGTGAACCTCTTACATTCTACTCAACAAAAAGAGAGATATCATTAGATTTTTATATATATATACTTCAAGTGTTATTTAAATTTGATTAAAACACTAGCTTTCGCAGCGCGACTGATCTTGAAAGTACTATACTCGAAAATAATATAAAACATAGCCTATGTTACTCACTGACAACGTAGCTTTTTAATGGTAAAAGAGTTTTGAGTTATTTCATTACAATCAAGTTTTCCTCTTTATAATAATAGTATAGATTAACAATCTTGAGAAAAATTATCACCACGTGAATTATATATTTTTAACCGCTGGAGCAAAAGACCTTGTGGAGTACATATCAAATCAAACAACGTATTTACTAAGAAATACACATAATTTCCTCTTATAACGAAACGTTCATTCAATATTATAATAAAAAGATGCAAATTATTAACAATATAAAGTGTCCTGTATCGGATATTTGCATTGTTTGTAGATTGAAATGTTATTTTCTTTGTTAAAATAAACTATAATATCTTTTTCATAATTTCGATGTATGAAAAACAGTTTTTGAAGTAGCGTGTTTGATCTTACCAATACAAGTTTTAAGTTTTCCAAAATAAACTCAATACAGAATAACCTTCACCTCTAAAAACAACTAAAACATAAGATTTTCCAAATTAACCTATTTTTACAAAATAAAATATGTCATTATCTATTACAATTCGTGGCAATATTACGAAAAAAGTTGTAAACCACTTGTAGGACAAGGCGAACTGGATGCAAGATCAACATCTGGAAAAAATAAACTTATTTTAAAAAGTTTAAACAGATTTTCTAGATCTTTAAAAAAAAAAAATAGTAATAATTCATCGAGAAAATATAGAATATTGAGAAAGGTTTATTATGGTCTTACCAACGCCACAGGATTTTGCACATTCAAGCGATTCAAGGCTAGGATAGGTAATCCCGTTAGTGCCGCAAACAGGGATCTGATTTAATGACGACGGACATTTTGAAAGGCACTTTATATCATCTACAACCGTTGTGGGTGATCTAAAAGAAATAAGAGAAAAGATTTAATCCAATATTATAAATGCGAACGTTTGGATGGATGGATGGATGGATGTTTGGTATAGTTTGTAGCCTAAACGGCTCAACGGATCTCGATGAAATTTGGCATAGACGTAGAGGATAGTCTGGAAGAACACATAGGTTACTCACTTTTGTTTTTTTAATCCCACGCGGACGAAGTCGCGGGCGAAAGATTATAGATAGAGAGATATAAAGAGATAGATATAAAGTCTATAAATTTAGAAATCGAAACTAGTTTGATAGGATACGTAAATTGATAACGAATCAATCTAATTTTATCCACGTACGTAGAACAGACATTAAAGAATTAATATAAGTGGTAGCGTCCAAAATAACAATATCTGTTGCACTATCGCCCTTTAAACAGTTCAAATCAATATTAGATCTCGAAATTATTTTATTTATCGACGTATTTTTAACTAGCTTTTGCCCGTAACTCTGTCCGCGTGAAATTAAAAAGTAACAATAGTTAAGTAGTCTATGTGTTCTTCCAGATTAAGATCTACATTTATGCCAAATTTCGTGGCCAATACGCGCCACCCTTCGAGAACTTTTTATAAAATTATTAGTTAATCTTTCTTTTTACATTCTTGGATTTTACTACAGTAAGTCTTATAAAATTTTATTATTCTGTGTTCTTTACAATCAATCAGTTCATATTGTACAATGGTCCTTCGAGCCCGATGCTATAGGACTCTGTGTCACATGAAGGGTAAAAATACCAAGTACATACTGTTCAGTAGTCGTAGTTACAGGATTTTGTTCTTCAGACTCACTGGATGAAGATGTTGGAGATTCATTCTCACAATAGCAACTTATTTTTGCAGCCTTCAGTTCACTCACAAGTACCACTGTAAAAACAGATTTTTAAGGCTGACATATAAGAGCACACGGCAGCATGTAATCTGAATTTCGTTTATGTCGTGCATTAAATCATGGTCACCGTACATTACTCGCAAGCTACCGATACCAGTTTAAGTAGTCCGTTTATCTCGAACCTTAATTTTAGTAATTAAATTTTTATTACACTAGTAGACCCCAACTATGATTACGTATTTAAACATTAATTTTGTACACAGATTTCTATGCCTTGTTCTAAAAAGAACAATCATCAAAACATTATTGCTAATGACATAATTTTTTCATTGGTAATAACGCCCAAGCACAAGTGATTTTGAGACAGTGAAATAATGAATTTACAATAGTCAAATACATGAAATAATATATTGTTACCTGACACGAAGATTGCACACAATTTAAAAGAATGCATTTTGAAATATGTATTATTTTTAGTTTAATGTTCACAAGTTTTGATATTCTTCAGAAGAATGATATACTATCACACTAGGATAGAATATATAGTGAGATTCTAGGACAAAGCTTATCAAAAACAAGGTCCCTTTATATCCGTAGTATTTAAGGTTTAGGGAAATCGTTGTTTATTTGAACTGTTGTTTTAAAACAATGTTTTATGTTGTTGAATGACCTTGTAGAAATAATATCTCACGAGGCCTTATCCCATTTTGTATGTTTTGAATAACCTTCTATGTCTTTTGTTTTAATGTGTACTATCTTTTACCTTTCTATTGCTTATTTTCGTGTTAGGCTCTTAACTATACACTTGATCATAGGATTAAGTCAGTACTTCGGATAGCAGTTATTTTTCAATATGAAATCAGAAAAAAACCATGGGCAGATTTTGATAAAATGTTAGTATACTTAACCAAAGAAGTTACTTGTTCCAAATATAAAAACAAATGAAGCCTTAAAGTCACCCAAAAAAAAAATTCTTCACGGTGTTTTGATAGAATTTTGACTTTTGATTTGCGAATGGAACACATGCTGTGTTCAAGTAGTTTTTGATAACCTTTGTATATATTAAACTCCTATAAAAACTAGTATGTAAATGATTTTACCATGTATATTGCTATGAAGAAATATCAGGCGAAACTTGACAAAATACAATTATACGAGTATAGACAGTTCTAGTTTTTCGATATGTTTTAGTTTATCTTATGTTTGTATATTTCTTACTTTTTGTAAAGTTTAATTAATATAATTCGTCACAATTTAATCAACAATGTTAAAACAACAATAAAACAGAATATTATGTTTGTTAAAAATTTGTTTTAAATAATGACAATAGTGAAAGTTTTTTAGAAATGTTTTAATTTTCATACAATTCGCCATTTCCCGTTTTCTGAAATTGAGATTTTTTGTTCAAGATACATGTTAATACACTTTTACTAATAACATGTCACTATTACTAATAACATTTGGAAAAATAAATAAAAATAGAAATAGAATAAAATAAAACACTATTTATTGATCAAAAAAATTAAAAGAACACAACTTACAAATCATATTACTGAAAAAAAATAAAGATAAAAATTCTTGGCCAAAAGGAGAAGGCTCAGCTGATGCGGCATCCAGCTTGTCACTGAAGGCCGCGCTGGTTTTCCTCCAGCCTCCCCTAAACTAACATTA